GCCTCCTGCCCATAGCTTGTGTTTGAGCGACAGTGTATTTTTTTTTTTTTACAGACACAGCCAGTCTTGACTTAAAGCCTTAGTGATGGAGAAACCACTGCCGCCAATTGTGCTTTAGGCACAATTTTGAACAGTAAGGGGACTGATCTCTAGCCTGAATTTCTCTAGCTTTAGTTTCCAGACATTGGTTCGTCTTATGTCTTTGCCTGCTAGATGAAACAGCCTCTGCCCTCAGAAATCTCTTCCACAGGTAGGTACTTATGGACGGTGAGCAAATCATTCTCTTATCCTTACGAGAGGAAAGTCTTCTGGGGGGGGGGGGCGAAGAGGCCTGGCGTTCTCAGGGCCATCTCGGCCTCCTTTCGTACTCACCCCAGCCCACCAGGCAGAGCTTGAGAATGAAGTGCTCCACGTAGGTGTTGAAGACCTCCACCACCAGCCTGTAGAGATTGTAGCCCTCAATGCCCATCCAGGTCAGGCAGCACAGCAGAGAGAGGTGCAGGAACATGCCGCTGGCTTTGCAGGCTGCCTCGCTGCCGATGTAGGCCAAGTGCTCAGTGATGAGGAAGCTCACGTCCAGCAGGAAGATGGCCCCCAGCAGGTTCATGTGAATGTAGATGTTTACGGTGCCGTCTCTGTGCTTCCTCCTGGGAAAGGGAGAGGAAGAGATTTCATTCCTGCTCCTGTCTGGGAGTCCCAGACCCAGCACCCACAAAACCCCACGATGGGGTCCCAGTGCTTTGATTCAAGCAGCTCACCCTAACCAGAGACACACAAGAGATCTGTGTCTTAACAACAGGAGATTGTGAGCCCAGTGCCTATTCCACATGTGCATGGCCAGCTGATGGCTGTGATGGGTGAACACGCTGAGCCACCGGTAACTGCAACAGGTGAGCGATCCTGGTCCCCTTGTTCCACTGGGAAGCTACATCTCTGCTGGCCTTTGAACCATGTGTGCAGGCGACAGGTTTGGCCATTGCGTACAGCCTAATTTCTCAAAGGAAGCCTCTTTTAGCCTGCGTCAGCCCCTTGTTAAGGCACTGCTAAAGATCTGTGCGTGCCCACGCTCGCTGCATTAGTGCAAAAGACCAAGATGGCGGTTAAGATTATTAAACATGATAGGTGGTTCTGGGGGCCCATCTGGAGACCCCATAAAGGGGTCTGGTTTCTAGGGGTGGGTGCTCAGCACTTCCTGGATATCAGGCCCCTTTCAGGCATCTCACGTTGGGCCCCCAGAATCACCAGTCCCTTTAGAAAATCTTGGCCAATCTGTGTGTAATGGCAGCTGAGGGGGATGCTGCCTGCATGGGGTAGCGAACTGGTCAGCATGAGCACGAGTTACAGGCTGCTAGCTAATCCCCCGCCCCGAACCATAGTACTGTACCTGAAGCAGCAGAAGAAGAAGATGGTGAAGAGGGAAGCCACAGCTGAGACAATGCAGCCAATGTAGGTGATAATCGTCAGGTACTCCTTGTGGATGTAATCTATCTCTGGAGAGGACATCTGAGAATGGAGAGGACAGGGGAGGTGTTAGAGCCATGCTGGGCAAGAGCTGAGAGCTTTACCCATCACTGTGGAGACCATGCAGTGAGGATGCAGAGAGCTCGAGTGGGAGCTGGTACCCGGTACCCACCATCAGCACAGCAAAATAGGTGAGGTGGTTGCAACGGCAGACTGTCTGGTTATTACCCGTCTCTGTTTCACAGCCATCACTTTTCCAGCTGCCTTGGCCAGCTGCAAAGAGAAAAGCAGTTTCCTGTTGAAGGTGGGAGGTTTCACACACTCAGCCCAAGTCAATGTTCACAGAAAGTCTTTGACCCACGGTGTCTGCAAGCAGGTGAGAATGAGAGAGTGCTTTGCAATGGGGCCCAGTGACTCCCATACAGACCACATGGCAGCACTGCTATACTGGGGACCCTTCGAACCCAAAATCACTCCCACCCATATCTGCGTGGAGAGCAGGGCCTGGGACAGATTCTTTGGGATATCCATGAGGGAACCGCCTGAGATCTAGCCTTCCACGGAGATCTATGGGCTGTCCCCCTGGCATTAGAGGAATGGCAGGATTCACAGATAAGGGGAAGCTGTCAAATCAAGCCCCGTTGAGGCTGAAAAGGAGAAGTCACAGGGAGCCGGAGTGAGTGACACAGATTGGAGAAGGACAGAGTGAAAACCAATCAGCGTCTCCTGATGGAAAAGGGATGGATGTATCCAGCCACTGACCATGCGCTGGGCCAATCCCACTCCTATTGAAGTAAACGGGAGTCTTTCCATCCACTCCAATGGGAGTTGGACTTGCCCCAGAGTTTGTCTCTACAAGAGTTAAAATACCAAGGACAGTCCAGTCCCATGCTTCAGGTTGTAAAGTGACTGATGCTCACTCCCTTCCTTGGGCAGCTAGGCTAGGGGTCTGGTTCCCACCTGCCCCGCACCTTGAGTCCTCACACCTGTGCAAAGCTAGCATAAGGTGCTGTCAAATCGGGAGGGTAGCACTGGACTCCCCCACTGCACAGGTGTCAGTCACAGCCTGCTCTCTCTCAGATACTCACGGCTGGAGTTCACGTCCCAGAACACGCACTGTGGAGTCACGTTCCTCTGAAAGGACAAGAACATGGGTGGTGATGCATGAGCCTCTCTGGGTTATTCACGGGGCAGGCGAGTTTGGCTGAGGGGCAGATCAAGGGGCAGATGGGGCAGGAGGAGAAAAGAAACTCTGGCCCTTGTCATGTGACTGGGGCCAGGAAACAAAGATCATTCTCTCCCCAGCAGTCCAGTCTGTCACCTCCTTTTTCAACAGGGAGGCTGCTCCCAGCAACAGCCTATCGGGGCAGGGAAAGATCAAAGACACCGGCTGTGCCGTCTCTCTGGAAGTGGCTAGTTGGCCTGAGCTACGTGTTTTGGAAGGGCATCCCCTAGAGAGGATGGGGCGACAGAGCCGAGGCAGAAGCTGAGTTGGCAGGGTCTCAGCCCCCGCCCCCTCCCCCCACCCTGGACAGACTGATTGGAATGGGGCCGTTTCTCACACCTACCGGTAGCTGGACATGAAAGAATTTGAGGACCACGTCCTGTGGGAGGCCCGATACGGAGGTGTTCCCCACGGTGATGCCAATCACCTTTTCACCGAGCACCCTGCTGCTGTTCTGGTCCTGAAAGAGATGGAAAGCCCGTGATGCCAGCGTGGGAGAGTGACAGCTGCCGGGCACCATGCTGCTATAAACCCCCCGGAGATCTCAGACCCAGAGAGCTTCCTTGTCTCCTTCCTCAGCAGACAACACAGGCCCAAGGAGGGTCTGCGCACACAG